GCATTTCAACTCACGAAGTAAGAAAGTGGACCTGAAAATTGTAGAGGAAAAGTGAACTATATCTATTTAATGGAAGACATCCGCCGGACAGATAAGCAGCGAGAAAATAAAGGAGTTGACGCATCTAAATTTGACAGGGGCAGGTACTAACCGGATTCATGAAGCTCAGGACGGGAAGGCTTGGCATAGCTGTTCCTAGCGTATCGGTGTATCCCAAAAGTTTTTAAAAAAAAATATATGTGTTTTTTTAGTAATTTTAGTTTTTAGTAATATTTTAGTTTTTTGTGTTTGGTACTATTTGTGCCAAAAATTTTTGGTACCAAAAAAAATTTTAGTAATATATGTGTTTGGTACTATTTGTGTATGTAAGTTTCAGTTTTCACTTCCCTTTTGGTGTGCCGAATATTCAGTTCGAAAACAGCACTAAACTTAAGGCGATTGAGGAAGTGTTTCGGCACCACAACGACAAGGTAACCATAGTACATAGCCTTTCCAGAGCTGTCAGCATGAAGGCTGGCTGCTTCAAGTGCGCTTAGACATTTTTCAGGTTTGGTCTGATCCATGTTTGAACTGAATTTTGCTGCACAGTGAACGAATTGAATAAGCAGTATTGGTTGTGAATAAACGTATTTTAGGTGAGTCTGGCGGAGATGCGGGAAATTTGTGCTGCATCCCAGCTCTGTACACTGTGGAAGCGGCCGCTCTATGAATGCATTGCTGTGTCTCATCAAAATTTCATCTGCTACGGTCAATTTGCACAGTGGTGGAAAACGTATGTTTTATCTTCGCTTTTATGACTAACGGTTTTTATAAATTTACAACTTCAGTCGTGAACAGTAAATTTTGTTTTGGTCAGCATGCATGTTGCAATTTTCTGCAGCTGCTTCTGCATGACTCTACCAAGTCGGCTCTTTTTTCAACAAGAATTATAACATGTTATGAATTGAAAGCAAAATCAAAAATTTTTTCAAATTTTACTCGCTTACGCTGATGTCGATAGCTTCCTAGGATTGCTTGGAAACAAGCTGATGTTGCCATTGTCACAAATTATATGAATTATTACAATGCGTGGAATTGCGCGGATTGCGCCAGTAATGGCTGCTGTATTAGTCAGGCGACGGAGCAGTTGTTGAAGGCCGTGCACTGCCCGTAATCTGTAAAAACCGTTTTAAAAACCGTCTGTTGGTTCGCTTCGGCGAAAAATCGTTCTAGGCGCTGGCTTTTCTAGAACGGTTTTAGGCCTGACTTGGCTAGCCTCCAGAGCAATGCTTGAAC